TTATGTTAACACGTGGTTTGTGGGCTGGTACTAGAAGGTCATTAAAAAATAGACTAGAAAAACATGAGTTGAGGCACACTGGCACAGACACTAGCAGCCTTTGAAGTTACTTTTTCTGTATTTAAATCATTGTATATCCAGTTCCTCTGTCTAAAGCAAACTGCTCCAAAAATTCACTGACCTTAAAACCTAGTAATTGGTAGCCTCGTCTCTACAAAGTTTCAGTCTGAGATGACCAGGCATGTCATGTGCAATTGGTTCGACTTTTCCCATCGTTCCTGTAAACATGAAGCAGTCAAATGGCAATCTGAAAATGTTCAGCCCTTAAATCCTGTAGAACAACTTGCTGCCGAATTAACTTGGGCTAATCTACCTTCTTAGTCATACCAGAAGGTGTCAGCCAAGGGCTGAAAAAATATTCGAAAGAATATCCCTGCAAGGATCTCTACGTTAAAGAGAAGGTGTTGCAGGTTTGTAGTAATTTCTCTTTTAAGCAGTTTTTAAAAATTCCCAAACCCTAACAATGTTAACATGTGTCACTATTTCAGGACAGAAACGCTATAGAACAAACACCACTCATGTAGACACACGTAGGTCTTTTACCCGTCTTTTGTTCTACGAGACTGCAGTCTCCCCTGCTGCTGCTCCATTACTTTAACACAGACAGGTCTATTTCTTTGGAGTAACTTCAACCCTCCTCTCCCCACATCCCACTGTTGCCTGTTAGATCATCTGTCAGCTCTTTGCTGACACTTCTGTGCTGCACACTGCTCATGTAACCTACAGTGGCCAGTTTAAGTGTATTCTATTACCCAGATGTACTATGTTAATACTGTTTCAAATGCCAAACAGCAAAAGACAACAACTTGCATGAGACAAGAACTGACCCCTATTTTCAGGTCTGATCAGTTTTCATAAATGTTTTATATGTCTGTGGATTTTGTTTAGCAACTTACAATCAATGCGGTTGCTGTCCACTTATTTTTTAAGCACTTTCTCCCATGCCTTGAGGGAAAGGCTGCTCCCCCGCTCGTCTCGCCCCGTCCGCGAGGCGGCCGCTCCCACACGCAGCTGCAGGGACTCCCCAGAAGCACCTGAGCATTCCCACTGCCGCTCACCTCGTGGGAACTCAAGAAAGCACCTGCAACACCCAAACTTCGGGCTAAAAATCTGTCTTTATTGTTGACTGCTCAATTTCCACACAGTTTTCTGCTGGCAGGAAAGCCACGCAACTAAAGCAACAGCATCCAGATTGTCTTGTGTCTTATAAAAGAGCTTTGACCATCACATAACAAGTGCCAGAACTAAATTCGGGGACAAGGCCTGCAACGCAACACAGCCTGTGGGCACCAGCAGCACCTTCGTGGCGCTGGCAAGGTGCCAAGCACACAGTTTCTCACAAGCTACTAGTACTTGCAGGACTTGCATCGCTGAAACCTCCGTGTTGAGCTACTTGCCCATCTCCACGTGCAGCTCAATACCCTGGTGCCCTGCCAGGGTCCAAGTTCAGTGAAATGAGACAAAACCCACAGGATTTCAAGCCGATCCTTTCCAAAGTGCCACCATTCCATTTTCCCAGTACTTGGCTGCTGCTGCAAGAGCTTTATGCAAAAATATTTAAATTTGCCCTCACCAAAATAGAAGCAGCAAAAAAAGCCTTAGACAGACTTTAATTATTACATTATTTTTCATGCTATGAAAAACTCATTTCTCAATTTCTGTAGAGGCTGACAACACATAGCAGAATTATTATGAATTCAAACGTATGTAGATGAGGTATCAGAACAAATCTAATCTGCAGTTTTGGGATAACATTTCCCTCTTCTATTTCAACAAACCGGGAGAACAGAATGGAACACCACTGTGAACTAAAAATATTTTGTGTGCAGAGCATTATTAAGGACTCGCTGCCCTGAACTCCCTCAGGGAGCAGGGAGCTCGGGATCACACCGGAGCAGGCGCATCCCAGGCTCAGTACTTGAGAGCCAAACTGACATGAGTTCATGCTTACAACACCAATTTACTAAAAATGAAGCTAAATCAGTTCTACAACTTCTGTTTTATTCTCAAGTGCACTTCACTCTTCAATATGAGCTGAACAGCTGATTTAGCCCTGTTCATCCCATAGATTCATGCTGTAAAAATAAAAGAGATTTTACTTTGCATTTTGTTGGTATGGCAAGAAAACTTCTGTCTTGAAGCACTGAACAGGTACTTGCATTGCCTTTGAAACAGCAGTAACCAAGCCCAGGGACCACTTCTCCACTGACTCTTGATGTTACAAAGTCAGGGGCTTTGGAGAACAGAGAAGAAATAAGATTATCTCCAAAACATCACATCTACACACAAAGCACCAGGAGATATAGACAAACAAAACAACACTTGGAGCAGATGAAGGCCCTGAGCTTCCTAGCAGCATAGTCAGAATCAGGAATGTGATAGGGTTAAAAAAAGTGAAGTATCAGTGCAGATACCCTGGAGACAGCTCAAAACTGACCTCCCACAGGAAATCAGAGGTCTGCAGGAAGAGCAGCCTCCAGAAAATGGAGGAACGGAGCTAAACAAGAAACCTGTGGCACTCCAGAAACTCTGGATCAGGTAAAGCTCAGTTAAAGACAGATTTTTAAATATATTAAAAAAGCAACCTAAATTATAAAAGTGTGCCCAATGTATGAACAAAGATGATATTTCAGGCTGTCTCATAGCTGAAGCAAAAACACCACCAAAAGCTCATGGACAGAAAATAGGGATGCGTTAGTGATGAGGCTTTCAGATATGTAAACACTGAGAGTTTCTGAATAGCTACAAGACAAGAAAATTGATACTGTATTTATTAGCCTTTTTTTTCCTGACAGTATCTTCCACACAAGACTTACTAAGCAGGATTAAGCAGGAGAGAACATTTTTCTTCTTAAGAGGACATTAAAGAGCAGGTTCAGAGTCCTGTCTGACGTCTGCCTTCATCTGAGGCGCCTGGACTTTCAGGATTGGCTCCTTCAGGTATGGCCTCAGTTTCCAAGTACTGCGAAAGTCTAAGTTTTCTAGTTTTGCCCTTTACCTCCCCAACATGGCCATGCCAAAGACATACAGGTTTTCTTCTTCCTTCCAAATTCTAAATATAGCACCAGGTGTACCAGTTTCCAGCACAACCAGTTGAGCAAGCCAAGCAGTCACAAGCACTAACGAGAACAGCGTTTATGTGGGCAGAGTCAAGCACACACATGAGCACCACGCAGCTCAGGCCCAGGCAGCAGGATGAAACCGAGGGCTGGACTGTGCCAAACCTGGAAGATTTGGAAATACTCCAGACACGTCTGAGGCTGCAATGATAAACTCAGTGCAGGAGTACGTGGGTCCTGCTCGTCTAAGCTTTACAAATAAACACATTTGTAACAAGTGAAGTTTCTACCATACTGATAAGAATAACTGACATTCTCATCAGACTGGGAAGGCTTTTACAAGCATTTAATGGTCTCTGCTCTAATAAAACACACCTGAAAGCTAATTTCTCAGTGATCCAACACTGCTGATTATCCTCCTGTAGCTACACGCAACAAAATCTCTCAGTGCAAGAGCCATCTGCCCCCCTGCTGTTCAATCCCTGAGGGCCACCAGAGCACCCGGAATTCACCCTAACCCCCATGGTAATGCTGACTCATTGGGCTCAACCAGCCTGCATTTTGAGATGGTGCTAGTCTGCTAAAGGTGCAACCTACAGAGACATAAATTAGCATGGAAACTCAGCTGTAGTGCCGAAAAAGGCCGGAATAGACTACAGAGAATATAATGTAGCAGCAAAAATCCTCAAAACTAGACTCTTTCTAAAAAAGGGCTCAATTTACTGACAAAGTAGTTAATTGTTGCTTCTCAGTAACCAATAACAGGCTCTAAAGTGTGTTTTTACACATAGCAGATGCTATAGCAGAACACAGTTACCGTCAGAAAACGCACAAACCAACCATACAAAAGCCCCGCACATCATCTTTCCAGTCACTCCTGCCAAGCAATCCAGGTCACCCAGGTGAACCACCCGTCGTTGTAGCTGGAGAAAGGCAACCTCCTTCAGATCTTTCCTCAGACGTCTACCTAATATCTTTAAAGAGCAATGAATCTCCCTGCTCTTACGGTACCTGAAGTAAAGCAACCAGAGTTTTAAATTGTCAAGGCAAAGGCAGGCTGTCATGCTTCATAAATGCAAGTTGCTGGCTTGAGGTACAAATTCTGAAAATTTAGCTTACCCCAAATCTCATCTGAAACTAACACAAGTCCCCTCACAACAAAAAGAGCACCAGTAAGGAAATAAACTTGAAACTAATAAGAGGCCTCTTTCTGATACGGTTCAACTGCAAAGTTAACCCAACCTAGGAGAACACACACATTGCACATCTACTTTACTACTTTTTCTATTCTTTCAATTGTTGGCAGGAAAATAAAAGCCCAAATCCAGCTCCAGGCAGACTTTCAGTGCTCCTCCCAAGAGGAATCTTTATATTCAGCTGATAGATCTCACTTCTTAGAATGAGATTATAATTAATGCTAATACTTTGTAATTACTAGCTATAATTGCAAGATATGCTAATTTGGGGATGGATATCAGGGAAATTTTTGAAAGCTGACTATATCACACCTGTAAAACACTAAAAAGCGGTGGCAATTCCCACTCGAAGTGCTTCAAAGCGCACTGCAAGGAGGAAGAAAAACAATGAGCAACAAGGAACACTCTTGTTCTGCTGGTAAGCTGAGACAACCCACAGCAGACTATAGAGATCTTATTCATACTTAAGTATTTTGTCACCCAAAGAAACTGAAGATCGTATACAAGAAAGAACAAACTTGCCTAACAGAAATCTACTTCAGCTTCAGAAGCCTGAACCAAACACTAACAGGGTTGTTTCTCAGTCCATTTAAGACTCCTGGTCAGACCCTAAGCTGTCTAGCCCCAAGTCTGCCTTTTTGCACGGCAACTAAGATGTCTGTTGTAACGTGCTGCATCCTAACGCAGTTCTGCACCCGCTCCTTTGGGGAGGGAAGGAGAAGGCAACCAGATGCAACACCTCACATGGAATCTCTGAATATGGACCATGGCATAGCCAAATACAGCTACTGCCACTGCAAGCTTCTACCAACTATCACACCAACTGCCCATTAACACTCCAGGGCTAAAGCCTCCAGGGCTAAGCTAAAAGCCAGACAAAGAACAAACTTCATTACTGCATGTTCATCAGATTTTAGGAATAGACTGATAGAAGTCTGAAGTGTCTTAGTAGAGAAGTTGTCTCCAACACCCTTAAGACAACAGATGAATTTAGGTATAAATCAGAAGGGAAAAAAAAAAAATCCAGCTCAAGTAGATCAGCTACACAAGGGAAACTGAAAAAGTATTAGGTGATTCACACTATTGACAAGGGAGATTTTCCAGAATTACAGACTGTAACATTGCTATGTGATGCAATTGCTATAGTAAATCAATTCTGCATTATTTACCACTTCATCCCTTAATCAGTCTTTAATTAAAAGAGCATAAAAAGCAGAACTCTCCGTTTCACAATGCTTCCCATCTTTACCAAAGAGTTTATTCCTCAATGCACAACCCTGCAAAGGTTTTTAAGAAAAAAACGGTTATGACTAAAATGAGAAAGGTGGCTTTTGAGAAGCAGCACTTTAACCAAATTGCCCTGGGAAAGAAGAGAGACACAATAAATGCTCCTCCTTGATGCCATCAACGAGGCCGCACACGTAGCTTTGCAGCAGCACAGTCACGTGCCACGGGGCAGACTGCCGCTCCAGCAAACGCTTCTTCCCAGGGGCTGGACAAACTCAGAGGAGCAGCTCTCATTCCAGATCCACGTGGCAGCCTTGCTGACCTAAATCACATTCAGTCAGCCAGGCACTGCTGTTGACTCATGCTAGATTTAGTGTTATCATGGCCTCTCAACAGCCTAAAATATCTACAACTCCATTCATTCAAACTAGAAGTCCTTATTCTTATAAAACACAAAATGCGAGGGATAAAAAAGTCATCCAAGTAAATACAAGGTATGGTTACCGCAAACAGTTGCTAACAAGGACTATTCCATTTGCTGCCCTTTCCATCCTTCCTCGTTTGCCCATGGTGCACCATCCTACCAACCTAATATGTTTCAAGATTGGCCATCTCATTTCAGTGAAAGCAAAGTAAACCACCTGCCAGAAAGCAGCTAACGCTGGCATCTTTTTAAGCTCTTTGCTTCACCATTGAAGAATATTTTAAACACAGTAGCATACTGTTTGCTGAAAGAAACTTGCTTTTAGAAACATTTCAGACAACATACAAGTAGGTGATACAGACCAAAGGTAAATCTAAGCAACTTACTGCTGCTGCTGAGGCATCCTCTCCACCTATATAGATAGAAGAAGCTATCTCCATCACAGACAAGTTGGTGGGAGCATCAGTAGTAGATGATGATCTGGGCCGACCTGATTGAGTATCTTGGGCAGATCTCCTGTTGACCTGAGGGCTTCCTTTTGGAGGGTCCATCTTGCCCCGCCTGCTGTGCAGGCTTGTCCCTCTCTTCATTTTAGGTGGCACTCTGATCTGCTGAAGCACTCGATTCAGAGCTGTGGGGTGGGTGGAGACACCATCAATTTCAGCACAGACGCTTTGGCTTTCCAAATCCATTTCAGCCTCCAGATCAGCCTGAACTTGCTGAACATCATGGGGAGAAACTGAAGACCTCCTGCGCTGGTGCTGGAAAAGGTGCTTCAAGCCTTGGCCAATCACATTAATGTTCTCCAAAGCATTATGCGTTATTTTGGATAATTTTTGCTCTGATTCATGCTGTTTTTTGGTCTCTTGATCTTGGGATTTGCCTCCAGGATCAGGGTCATCACACATCTGTTCATTGCCAGAGGGCTCCATTGATGACACTCAACAGGCCTATTTGACTATTCATATATAAATAGGTCCCCCTCTTTTAAAAGGCTTGCGTTTGTTTTAAAAATGCCAAGATTGTCAGCCAATTAGGTGTGCAATTGCTTCAAGAGTGACTACACATGCAGCTGTGCCACGGTGATCTCATGCTTATCTAATGTTAAACAAAAGAGCCATTATTATACATCCATGCAGAAAGTAGTGGGTTAAAAAAATCCAATGTGCAAAACATGCCATTAACAACATAAAATACATCAGTTTTCCAAGCATCCTTCAGTCATGGTATTAGTTGCATCTAGGCCTTATGCAGAGGCC